CCTCAGGTCATACATACACCTCAGCAACCCCTCAGTTATCTCGGTAAGTAAGCTCAATAAATTCATTGGTTCCCCAGTAAAACTTTAATCAAACATTGGCTTGACACTAGAACCTTAAAAGGGAATAAGCATTGCTTAGCATCCCCAGGAAAAGAAGTCTCACAACAGATGGAAAATTTATTTGTTAATGCGGCCTGGAATGAGATGAATAGGACTTTTGCCTTGGGCACACATTTTTTTTTTTCGTCTTTTTGAAGCAGGGTCTCCCTGTAGCCCCAGCTATCCTGGAACTCACTATGTAGACCAGGCTGCCCTTGAACTCACAGAGATCTACCTGCCTCTGCCTCCCAAGTGCTGGGACTACAGGCATGCGCCACCATGCACAGCTATCATAATAATTTTTTTTTAAAAAGAAAATGAGAATGTAAAAGGTGTTAAAAGGATATGGGAATGGAGATATTTTCCAAAATAGAAGAAATGAGAAAGCCTAAGCAAGTGATGAGGGTCTGTGTAGGTTTGTTATGAAAATATAAAGGATGATACAAAAATACACATAATCTTAAAATGTCTATGGTCATAGTTTAGTCAACTAGTTTAAGGAACAAAATATATATCTAGTCAAGGTTTATCTGAGAATATTTGTTTTTTTACCCAAGCCTTATCTACATAGCACATGATAATTAAAAGTGGCAGAACTAGGGCCTTATTGGATGTTTAACAGCCATAGTTTAAGGCCTATACTAATGTAGTCAGAGGGACTTAAAGGACAATTTTTGCCCCTTGCCCTCCAAGGTCGACTTAAGTTCCAGGGGACTATGGAATATCTCTCAAAATGTCCTATAACCGTGGTGAATCACCTGTCCTCTTGTTCAGGAAAGACATGGAGACCCCACGAGATAGACTTGAACCAGTGTCCAATCTACAAAGAGGAGGTTCAACTCAGAGGAAACATCTCATTCATGCTTCCAAGTGAAGCCAGACATGGTTGAGCCCTTTGACTTATCTTCACATAGATGAAACTGGTAAAAGAAAGGAGCCAGGAGCTTTCCCAAGCCCATGTGACCCCTGAGGAACAGATCTTCAAAT